GGGGAGGGCCGCGCGGCCCTGCAGCACGCTTGCCCCTGGCGGGAGACGGTTCGTAACTGCCCTGGCTTTCCGGCTTCGGGATCCTCCTGAAAGTTGGGCCAAGCCCCGCGAGGGACTTCTGCCTCACCCCACGACGTCTGTGCCTCGGTCGCCCCTCTCCAGGCCCTCCTCGGGCTTGAGCTGCGTAGTGCGCGTGCGTGTGTGCCGAGGGATGTAGCTGTGTGCAGTTGGAAGGGCAGGGACTTGGATCTCACTTTCTTTGCTTTGTCTCAGTTTGCGCTAGCTACCTTGCCCCCTTTGTGTCTCTGGAATACCGGGAGATGCCTGCTTCTCTGACGGGCGTTGGGAAAAGCTGAGGCAATTCCTAGGGCAGAGCCCGGACCGCACCACTAGATGACTTGGCTATCCTGAAAGAATGATGTCTAGTATTCTAGGCTGGGCTCCGTGGCTAGGACACTGACTTCTCACAGCCGCTCTCCATCCCTTCAGATGGGGGCATTAGGGAGAGTGCATAAGATAAATCAAATATGGAAAAGCTCAGTAATTGATACTGTGATTAAGGTTATTTAAATGACTACCACCATTACAGATGGCTTCAGCCCATCTATTTCCTGTGGGTGAGATTGCTGGACTCTGATTCCCGGGGCCATTGTTTTTAAGACTGCCCATTTTATATGATGAATAATAGTGTCTTAAGAAACTGAGGAGCAGGCTTAGAAGATACCTAATAGAAACCTAGTCGGAGAAGCCCATTTGCAAGTGGGAGGCTGTGTGAGTAACAGGGCTCACCTGGTCTGGATGGCATCTGGCTGGGCAGATGGAATTCACCTGGGTCATTTACCCGTGTTTTTCTGTTCTTTGGCAGGACAGAGCGGGATGCCACCGTTTGGTCCAAGGGGAAGCTCCGGGAGCTCCTGGTTGGCATTGCTATGGAGAATGAGGCTGGCCGATGTGAGATTAGTGAGTTGAAGCAGGTGGAAGGTGAGGCTTCCTGTAGCAGCCGCAAAGGAAAGCTAATTTTCTTCTATGAGTGGAACATCAAGCTGACCTGGAAAGGTAACAGGGGTCCCTGCAAGAGGCAGGTTGGGCAGTTTTTCCATTTAGTTAGCAGTTGAAGTTCAGGTGCATTTGGAGTTTGCTGGGTCTGGAAACTGCATTTTACCCAGCACTCCAGATGGGTGAAAGGCAGTACTCTCAGCTGAACCCTGGTTTACCAGCTGCTGTGACTAGGGTGTCATGGAGCTGCTGCCTGGAGCACCCGTCCTCCACAAATGCTTGCTCCTTCAAAAATTCTTAATTATTGAAAAATGTTAAAATTACTTGTGTGTGCGCACACACAGAGTTGTGTGCCACAGCACATGGATAGAAGGCAAACAACTTGCAAAAGTCTACTTTTCTACCATGTGTTCTCCAAGGATTGAACTGAAGTTAGCAGGATTGATAGCAAGTGCTTTTACATACTGTGCCTCCTTGCTAGGCCACCCTTGGATCTTTTTAAAAATTATATGTATGCATACAATGTGTGTGTGGGAATGTGTGCCATGGTGGGTCATATGAGGTCCAAGGACACATTGGTGGAGTTGGCTCTTTTCCTCACCCTTATTTTTGGTTCCAGGAACCGAATTCAAGGTACGAGGCTCTAGCAGTAAGCTCCTTTACCCACTGAGTTGTCTTGCCATCCCATCCTTTGGGGTCGTTAGCCTAAGTTTTGGCTCTGGATTTGCCCCTGACAGTTCATATAGCTAGAATCCAATCATATGTAAAGTTCCTTGACTCTCTTTTCATTCCATGTTGTACTATGTTTCAGTATTTTATGCTTTTTGTATCTATTGTGTGGATAGACCACATTTTGTCTGTGTACCAGTCGGGGGTATTTCTGTTGGTGGTTTTCTTACCTTTTCCAAGTTCTACTATGACACTTAACTTTTGGGTCAATACATGTTGAAATGACCAAGGAGCAGACCCAGGAGCAGGAAGAGGACAAAACAAGAGATTTGGTTATGGAAGACTTCACTATGTTAAAAGTTTGGGTCTCTGCTGGGCAGTGGTGGCACACGCTTTTAATCCCAGCACTCAGGAGGCAGAGGCAGGCGGATCACTGTTGAGTTCAAAGCCAGCCTGGTCTACAGAATGAGTTCCAGGACAGGCTCCAGAGCTACAGAGAAAAACCCTGTCTCAACCCCTCCCCCCCCAAAAAGGAGAACATCCATTGGCTCCTTTCTGTGTAGTCTGTATCAGAGAAAAACTCATTAAGCTGGGCTGATGTAATTGTGCAGGAGTCAAGGAAGTTTTCTTTTTTTTTTTTTTTCTTTTGGTTTTTTCAGGACAAGGTTTCTCTGTAGCTTTGGGGCCTGTCCCGGAACTAGCTCTTGTAGACCAGGCTGGCCTCGAACTCACAGAGATCCGCCTGCCTCTGCCTCCCGAGTGCTGGGATTAAAGGCCTGCGCCACCATTGCCTGGCTTCAAGGAGGTTTTCAAACATCAAAGTGTTCCCAGAAAATTTAAGTTAAGGCTAGCCTGAGCTACATAGATCTACTTCATAAAAGCCAAGAATTTTGGGTATAGCTTGTGATAGAATGCTTGCCTAGTGTACAAAGGCGCTAGGTTAGATCTTAGGCGTCTGGCACATGCACTCAGGGAACCTCACGTCTATGAACAGTTGCTTCCATTTGGGAGTTGCCCTCACTCGTTTGTTTTGGCTGCTGCTAGCTGAATTAAAGATCCTCATGACCTGTATGTAGCTCTTCATTTCCTTGGCCCAGACAACCACGTTTTTTGCCTGACAAGACAATAAATCCTCAGACCCAGGAGGGTTAAGAAATATCTATTGCTGCCATGGAGACAGTCTTTGGGGCAGAACCAAGCATCTTGAAGGTCCCTCTGAAGTGACCATCGTGGAACTGAATCTGCCAACTGGTGCTCCTGTTGTCTGTGTATGGAATAAGACCTTCTTGAAGCTCATCATCCCTGGGCAGTTCCTTGGGGGTGGAGTGTGGTGGGGTAAAGAGACCAAAGTGGGCATGAAGCCATGCAACCTATGGCTGCTAAGGGCAAGGGCAGGAAGTAAGGCAAGTAAGCAGGCCGGTGCCCTAAGGACCTCATCACCTTATTCTACTCCTTGGCACCTCCCTTGCAACTTAGCACCAATCACATGGGCATCTCAAGTTGAAGAGGTAGGTGGGGATCTGGGGCTGACCTCTGCATTTTGACATTCCTATCTCTTACATCACCCCGTTCAGAGAATCTAATCAGAGTAGCACTTCTGGAGACTCAGCTCTCTGTCCAAGCCAAGGGAGGGCATGTGATATTAGAAGGGTTTGCCAGTGTTGGCTAACACTGTTTGAGGAAGATGATCAGAATCTGTGTGTACTGCAAGTTGGTCTGCAACCTTCTGCAGTCAGGTCCATGTCTTACAACTTTGTCCTCTCAATAGATGATGAATGTGGTGTGTGTTGTGCCTTGAAAAATAAACAAGAGCTGGGCAGTGGTGGTACACGTTTTTAGTCCCAGCACTTGGGAAGCAGAGGCATGTGGATCTCAGTGAATTTGAAACCAGCCTTGCCAGCTTTTTTAGTCAAGCTACAGAATAAGTTCCAGAACAGCCAGGACTGTTGCAGAGAAACCTTGTCTCAAATAAACATTCCAGGCCCCAAAAGGCATGAATTCTGGATTAAGTTAATGTATTAGATTCACCAACCAACAAATAAGAACAAACCTCCAAGCATTTGAAGTTGTTACATATATGGTCCAGGCCTCAGAAAATCAGTCATTTTTAATGCCTGTGTGGCGTAACTCAGCTCATAAGGAACTGGAGGGCAGCCTGTTATGGGTGGTAGCAATGAAATTTCTTTAGGTTATGCCTAAGTGTCTCGGTGTTGCTGTTTCTAAATGTTGTTCCAGGTGCGTATCCCTGTGAGCCTGATACTCACTTTGAGTAAAATTAAGTACTCTCTGCTTCCCCAAGCCAGTATAATAAGAGTGATATGCAGTTCAAACAAGAGGAGGCCTCCAGGTCTAACCAGGAGCTGGCTGCAAGGACTCTGCCCACTGTGTCCTTGAGGACATTGAGGCTTTAGTGTGGGAAGAAATCCAACTTCACCAGGACTTTGACAAGCCACAGCTTTTGAAGCTTTTCATGGTCAGAGCTCATTTTCCTTCTGTCCCTTTCTGCCCACTTGGGCCCTCTAGTGTCTTAGTCCCCTCAAAATAGCCTTTTTTGCTTGACATGGCAAAGAGCACTGGAAGACAAGGGAAATGGGTGAGAGACCTCCGATAGGGCTGCCACCTTGTATACCAAGTGCTGTGTACCACGTTGGGTGATGCAGCCACCCTTTCTTGGTTGTTCTCTGATGTGGCACTAACATCAACGTAACACTGTGTAAGAGGGGTGGAGCCACATGTGGGCTATTCAGTCAGGCAGAGGACTTTTGAATAAAACTAGTTATTAACTGCCCATTTTGCTCATTTTAGGTACAGTTAAAGAATCTGGCGCAAAACACAAGGGATTGATTGAGATACCCAGTCTTTCTGAAGAGAATGACGTTGATGACACTGAGGTATCTGCTGGAGTTCTCCTTTTTAGTCAAGGTGGCGGGCATTTGCAGACTACTCCCTTGGCTGTGTGGATCTATTGTGTAGGTGTGAATTGTGGAGGCTGTCTGCCACTGCACTCTGGGTGTATACGAGGTGGAACAGAGGTGTGGGAAAAGGAGGAAGCCCTAGGAAGCTTCAGACACCCAGGGCCAGGTGTGATACCTGGGCAGGTACCTGACTGCCACAGCTGGCTTTCTCATCTGTGTAGTTAATTTATCCTTCAGGGATGTATTCAGGTTAAATGTGACAGCACGTGCTAGGAAGTGCTCAGACCACTTGCATGACTTGCTGAATGTGACTGTTCTTCCCCTTGGTGCGACAGTCAGCCTTTAGCTATACTCCCTCATTGCTTTTAATGAACCACTTACTTTTGACATGCTGGCTTTCTTGTCCCCCACGAGGAGCCGGCTCATTCTTATGCTGCTTGACTCTTCACATTGTTGCTGTTGCATAGCAGCTGCTAGAGACACTGGCAAAGCCTTGTCTCAGCCTAAAAAGTGGACCTATCTCAGACACAGCTTCAGACTTAGCTTGCTTCACTTGGGTGCTGTAGTCTCACCACATAGAGGTCAATAATGCAGCTTCCTGGTGGCATATTAAACAGATCTAAAGGTCTGTCCTGCAGTAGCATCTGGCCAAACCAATGCCAGATTCAGATGCAGCCCACTCCAGAATTACAGGAACCTGCTGTAGTTTGAGACCAACACCTTTTTGCTATCAGAATATCCTGACCACGTATCACATCCCTGTCTCCTTTCTGTTGCTTTCCTCTTCCATTTTTCCTCTTCCAAGGGCCCAAGGTCAAGTTATATGGGAACTTGATTTTCTTGGGTGATGGATTTGGGTTTGTAGACCAGCACTGCTTTACATAGTCAATTTAATTTCTCTAGTAGCCACATTAAAAACCAGATAGAATAATTAAAATTTTTTAATTTAGTATCAAGTAGAGAGTTAATATGATTTTAACATGTAATTAGCAAATAATTGATGAGGTACATTACCTTTTTTTTTCTTCCGGTATTAAGTTTTGGAGTCTGATGTATTAGTTTTTATAACATAGTTCAAATCAGGCGCTTGTTAAATGCTCAGCCATAAGTAGCTGCCATACCGGACCTTCTCTAGATAAAGTCACAAACAGTTTATTTATAAACTCCTGTACTTAGACAATTTCAAACCAAGTTTAATGTTCATCTTCTGTACAGTTCACTCATAACGTGGCTGCCAGTACTCACCTAAAAATTCTTAACTCCTCTGTGACTGCGACCACTTCCTTTGTCTTCCACAGTTCAGTTCTCAATAGGATCCAGTGTTGGAAGAATACATTCATCAGTTTTTTCTTAGGTTTTTATTCTTCTGATTTGTAGGTGAACGTGAGTAAAAAGAAAGGAGATGGGGATATACTGAAGGATCTTATGAAAACTACAGGCACCGCCAAGGTCAGGGAGGCCCTTGGAGAGTACCTGAAGGCACTGAAGACTGGTAAAGAAGGCATCCCTTATGAACCACAGGGTCCCTTGATATTTACCCAGTTACGTTTTGCATGAGGGTTGGACTCCCAAGGCAGGCTCCTGAAAACATCTTTAGACTGTAGAATAAGTTGTAGTCTGGGTGTTGGAAACTAGTTGTGGGTAAGAACCGCCACCTGTCAGCAGTTTCCTGAGCCGGGCATGATGGCACTTACTGTCTCTCAGCATTTGGGAAGCTGAGGTAGGATGATTACAGGTTTGAGGCTAGGCTGGGCTATATAGTGAGACCTTGGTCAAAAAAAAAAAAAAACCCTCCCTAACGGAATAGTTTTTGTGTAATTTCTTGTTTAATGTCTGTCTTCCCTGCTAGACTATATGCTCCATGAGGGCATGGAAGGTGTCTCTCTTGTTCACTGCTGTATCTCCAGCATCTAGCACAATGCCTGGCACATAGTAGGTGCTTAATAAATCTTTGCTGAGTGAATGAATGTATGAATGAAAGTGACCACAGATATTACAGGTATCGGTAATACCTAGATAGTCCCTATATTGTATGGAAGTAAGGCTATTATTTTCTCATATTAGAGATGAGAGCTGGGCAGAGTGGCCAGCACAGGGCTTTCTCTGCAACTCATCCTTGAAGCTTGCTCATTGACTGTCCAGGTATTGGCATACACAGGTTTGGGGTCTGCACTAGTTCCACAAGACCTCCTAGGCATGAAGACTGGGTGACAATAAGCTTTGTAAGGGGTAGTGGAGAGTAGGCAAGACCATAGACTAGTAACAGTTAATCATGTACAACCTATTTAGAAAAGAATTTGTGAAAAAACATAGCATTTTAGAGGAATGCAGTAAAGCAAGGCATTGGAGCATGAATAAAGGGCCTTTGCTAATAAGTACCAGTAATACATGTAAGAACATGGAGTTATTTTCAAGACCTCAAAATGTTCTTTTGAAAAATGCCAGTTTAGATAAAAGGAAGTATGTTAACAAAATCTTCCTATTTACTTATAGAATTTACAGCAGGAATGATTTTACCAACAAGAGCTGTAACAACACAGGAACTGACTGTTGAGAGGACAGTGGCTGAGAACTCTCTGCAGGTATGAGCCTGGTGGCTAAAGTGTAGTGAGGATGCCTTTAATGACTTTCCAGACACTCTTTTGATACTGGGTTGTAGATGAGGAAAGGGTATTGATTTACATTTCCCCTTAAGATAGTGACATCATTTTGTGGGATTGCTTTTTTGTGTTAAGTGTGAGGGCTGTCACATGCTGGGCATGCTCCCTACCACAGAACTCACCTCTAGCATGAGGTTCTAATTCTTGATGGATGAGAACACTAAACATCAAAATTATTTTTAAGTCATTGGTTGATAGATTAGCCTAGACTCATGATGATTCTGCGCCAAACTTCTGGACTGCTGGGAGTAGAGGTATGAGCCATCATATCCAGCAAAAGCAAGTGACATTTAAGCTCATATACCGAGATGGAATAATGTTCTGTCCTGACATTAGGATTTAGAATTGGTGAGCAGGAATATATGCATGGAATTCATACCCTTATGGGACTGGTCATCTTTGACCCTGTTGTCATGTGCTGGGTCCCTATGTACAGGACTGTGATCAGAGGTGTTTAAAGTGCTCCTAGCATAAAAGTCAGCACTGCTGGAGCAAAGAACTTTAATGCTGTTCTTATGTGAGCGGAGGCAGCAGTGTGCAACTTGTAGGCTTGACCTTGTAGGAATCCTGAGGTTCTCTTCTGGTATGCTCCCCATCCTCTTGAATCTCTTTCTCATCTTGAGGTGCAGGCTTCTCCAGTGGCACTGGGTGTAAGGATTCCCACTGTAGCTTTGCATTTGACTGAGCTGTTTGACACAACAGTAGAACAGCTGTACAGTATCTTCACCGTGAAGGACGTAAGTAACTCTCTGAGCTACTCTACCAAATGAGGTTTGTTACAAAGAACAAAGTTGGTTTTTGACGGAAGGGCTTCAGGGACACTGGTGATTGGATAACTTGAGGGAAGAACAAGCACTTGTGGGCTGTATCAGCAGTTGGGAGATTTTATGTAAGTTTCCCTCCTCCATAAAAAAAGAAAGCTTTGATGTCCAACAAAATTAAAGCAAAACCACACCACTGGAAAAATGCAGACCTGGTATATAAGGTGCTGGTTTATTCCTCACCACACGCACAGGGTAACAGCATGTGTTAGAATAACATGTCTGTTTTGTTTGGCTAGTTGGTGCAAAAATTTTCCAAATCTCCTGCTGTCTTAGAAGCTGAAAAGGGAGGGAAATTCCAGATGTTTGATGGGAACATCACTGGAGAGTATGTGGAACTGGTAAGTAACTACAAGGTTACAGTGGTGATGTGGGGCAATTGTTGCTCCTTTCACTCGTTATTTTTGTTTTAAAGCTTTTGATGAGTTCAGTCTCATATTCTTTAATAAAGTTCATTGTAGAACAAAAGAAAATATATATCTGTAAGTAATGATAAAGTCTAAGCCTTGCTTTGATAGTAATTCTGCAAAAATAGTGTAACACTCTCTACTCTGCCTCATATTGTTTTGAAGACTTCAAGCTCTGCTGGCTCCTGCATTCTACGTCATTAGCGTCCAAACTGCCAGATATCAGTGGCCTTTTCAATTAGTTCTGTAGTTACCAATTATTACCATAGCTTTGTCCTTGATGTGTACATTCATGTGTAAATTGGAAGGCAGAATTGTATGCTAAAACGTTGGTTCTAGTATTAAGAGGAATTTAACTTGAAAAGGGTTTGTTTCTTCTGTTGTATTGTGCAAGTTTCAATAAATGTTCTGAAGGGGCTGGAGAGACGGCTCAGAGGTTAGGAGCACTGACTGCTCTTCCAGAGGACCCGGGTTCAATTCCCAGCACCCACATGGCAGATTACAGCTGTCTGAAGATCCAGTTACAGGGGATCTGATACCTTCACACCAATGCACATAAAATAAAAGTTAAATAAACCATAAAAATATTTAAAAAAAAAATAAAATAAATGTTCTGAGAATTGTCTGTTTTCAGTTAACAAACAGGAAGATCATCATGAAATGGAGGTGCAGGAACTGGCCAGAAGGTATGCTATGTGCACTTTATATATACCAGTAAACTAAAGCTGGGATACAGTTTCTTCTTGGTATTATAATAAGGCTCCTGGTTTTTTTTTTCCCCCCAGAACACTATGCAACAGTTGCATTGAATTTTGTGCCTGCTCCAGGGCAAACGGAATTACAATTGGACTGTAAAGGAGTTCCTGTCTGTAAAGAAGAGAATACAAAATTCTGTTGGCAGAAGCAGCATTTTGAAGAAATAAAAGGTTTACTTCAGCTCACCACCCAAAATGCTTGAATTAGTTAGGTTTTATAAGGACATCCTTTTGTAAGCAGAAACCTGGCCTGTTTACTTACCTCTTCTTTCTTCCCCAGAAAGTCCCCTCCCCCAAGGTCCCTAATTTATTTTATATTGGATGAAATTCATGAAACTACAGAATATAAAAGCATTGCTTGATGTATTCTAGACTCTGCACTGAGTAAAATCAGGTGTCGTCTCACCTTCCATGGGTGTTCCTCTCTGGAAAGTAAGTGAAGTCCAGTTCCCCAAGCTAAAGCTGGTCCCAACATGCTACTTCATTGCTACAGTTGATTTATGCTTAAGACAAATAAATGGCATGTTATACTATTCTTTTATTCTACTCCAGTTTTCAAGGTGTAGTTCTTAGGAGTGTTGTGGTGAGGGCTAGTTGGCTGGATTGTTACACTTCTCTGGCTTTCCTTGGTGAGACATCCACATGGTAAGTTCCTGTTTTGGACTGCTGAGGGACTTCTCACACAGCAAAGCAGAAGGCTATATGCTTCCTGTCTTCAGTCTGCTCATAGGCTGGCTGTCGTCCGAGGGAACTGAAACAACTTATGTAACAAAGGCATCACAGTCAGTTTAAGTACACAGAAGAGGCAGTCATTTCAATAAAAATAAAACAGTTATTTTTACATCAAGTGTGCTTTATTTCCTCCACAGGTATTCTGTTAAATAAAGCACCATTTATATACTGCCAGGCCACAGCTAAAGAGGATTCTTTACAGAATCAAATTTCTTGTGGTTGTTCCGTATACAAGTAAACTTAATTTTGATAATAAGAACCACAGCGATCAGAGGCAATCTGCCTCTCTTATTTTAAGGTACAAAACTGGCACAGAGGACACCATATTATACACAGTAAAAATGCTGTAAGTTTAAATTACATTGTACAGGGTCAGAGCCCTGATTCTCCCAGAAAGCCTTATTAAATGAAAGCCACTACAGTGAACTCTTAATTACATTACATAAAACATATCCATTATCTGATTGCCCTTTAGAAAGTATACAGAAGATGCAAGTTTTTTTTTTTTTTTCAATCTGGAGTTCTGCCTGACCAAGAATTAAGCCTATAAATCTATCTTGCCATTCAAGCAGAGAGCACTGGACAAACTGAAGCACAAAACAAATAAGCAAAATTTAGACAAACGGCAAGGGGGAGGGGCACTTGAAAGTAGACATGCCACATCTAATGTCAAGAAGCAGCTTGATTTCCTTTGCCAGATATCCTTGTGACCACATGGATTGTTGATTCAATGGTCCTACATAGGGTATCTAAAATGTCGTGTTGCTGCGCGTGACTAAAGAGGCCTCTGGAATGGCCACAACTGAGTGATAAAGCAGCTTCGGGATCCTGGGAGGACAAAGCTTGACCATCACAGCTTCTCAAATCAGCTAAGTCAGACAAAACTGCAGAGATGGAAGTAGAAGGGAATTCGGATTCGTCTTCAGCTAGTGTAGTATCCTTGGAACAGTGAAGGTCTTTAAACTCTTTACAGTCATCAAACCTGCCACTGTTAGACTGTTCCTCTGCATGCTGCGACCGGATATGTGACCCGTCTTCTGAAAACGAAGATAGGCCTTCCATCCGATACTCTTTGACAGAGCCATTTTCAGGGGAAGGAAGGTCTTGCTCGGTCCCTGGATCAATAATCGATGAGTCTCTTGTCTCATTGTCTGAGGTGCTCGTAGGGGTCAGGACCTCCCTGGTATCTGTTTTTATGTCGCCAATGCAGCTGTCTACAGTGTGCTCCTCGTCGCTGCTCACACGCCTTCTTTTAACAGGAGTTGCCCCTTCATCATCTGTGGGGGAAAAAATTATATAAAAACAGAATCTTCCTCAAAAGATTAAAATCCTACTGGGGACAATTGTGAGAAGCCAGTGTTTTGTTTTGTTTCAATCTTTTTTTTTTGTAGTGCTGGAGGTGGAAGATGAGGGCTTACAATACTAGCCAAGAGCAACCCCTGAGCCTTAACTTCAGCTGGTCATCATCCTCCCAGACCCAGACCCAGCCAATGACTTAGTTGACAAAGCTAACCTTTAGTTTTTCTTTCTTTGGCTTCTTGCTCTTGGAGTGAGTGTCTCTGCTGCAGACAGGTCCTACACTTGCTCAGAAGCTCTTGCAGAGTTGGGATCAGAGCTGGGTTTAACTGTTTGGGAGTGTGTACTGACAGGAGCAAAGCAAGTGCCCTCAGGTCCTACAGAAACCCAGACAGGAAGAGTTCAAATCCTAAAGGCAACATTTAGACAAAACTTCACAGTTAAATGAAGATGTTTATTTCCCAGGAATCTATTCTGGTCTCTCTGGCAATGTAGAATAAATTTAAAACCAGAATTAGCACATTACAGTATTCCATCAGTTTATAGCATTGTTTCATTTTGTGCCTATGTCAAGTATGCAAGAATAAAAGACTTTTGAAACAGAAACCAAATAATGCAGCTTAGGTTTACATAGTGATTCAAATAATACTGTAAATAAAATCTGGATTTTATTTCACAGAAGTCATAGTTTCTCAAGCTCAGTTCCGGTCTATGTCTCTATAAAAATAAAAACAAAACAACAAAAAAACCTGCTTAGCTTGTAAGCATCTTGTTCATTAGGGGCCTGCGGCGGAATGGTAAGTCTGCATATTTCCAACATGTTCCATACTATGGCTGTCAGAATCTACATAAATCAACATACTCTCTAGTCTTAGCTGCTTTTATAATCGTGTGACTGTTCTGATTACTTGGGAGTCATAGATAATTCTCCCTCTCCCCACCTTCCCTCTCTTACACACAGAGCAGAGATAAGGACCTATTCTGTTTTTGATAGTCATGCTGACCCTGATTGACTTGGAACTTGTGTTCTAAGGCTAGTGTCCAACTTGCCAGTGATCTTCCTGCCACTGCTTCTCAAGTGCTATGATAAGTGTGTGCCTATAATCAATTCTTACTGGTCTCGTTGCCCTTAATATATCGAATGCCATTTGGTTATATGTTCTCAATAATGGAAAGTGTGTGCTTTAAGTGTACACAATGAACACTTAATTGGAATAATTTTCTTCACACGTGATCCTTTAAACAGTGAAGTCATAATGGTTAAAGAGAGGACACATACAAGAACTGATTTTAAGGTGAGTTTTGAACTTGGCACAGTTCTTACCCCATTTAAGGAAGCACTTGCTTTTGAAATTTCAACACGGTTGGTGAAATCTGATTGTAGGTTTTGATACTGATTTATCAAGTTTGTGATAAGTGTGCTGATCAAACTAGCACAGTTTGCTTCTGAAAACACTTGACTTTGAACCTGGAAAAGAACACATATTTTGTGTGTGCACACATGCACGGACAAGTCTTAAAATTCAAGACTAACATAATAAGCACACATTAATTAAGCAGAAAAGGCATTTCAGAACTACATACACACCTTTAAAAGGAAATGTGTCATAAATGTGTAGACAATATTGTTATTTAGAAAAGTTCTTTCATCCATTAGGATACATTTAATATACTCTGCAAAAACAGGATCTTCACACAGAAGCTTGATGCAGTTTTTCGACATGGTGGACTAAAGTAGAGAGAAGAAACACTGCAGTTAGCAGCTGGGGACTTGGACAATGTTCAGTTACAGGTGGAACTGTAGCAATTTCCTAGAGAAAGACAATGGCAAAACTCAACATGTTCTGTGTGTTTACTTGTCTGCATACATATGAGCCTGTCCCATGTCAGAGGTCAGAAAAGGGTATTAGATTCTCCATTAACTGGAGTTACAGTTGTTAGCTGCCACATGGGTGCTGGGAATTGAACTTGGGTCCTCTGGAAAAGCAGCAAATGCTCCTAAGCACTGGCCATTCCTCCAGCCCCACCCAAACAACATATACTTAATGTAATCTTATCACCCAGCACAGAGTTAAGGATTATAAAACAAGCGTTAAAGAATAGAGTATGAATGTTTTAAGGGGACAATCAATGGATAAAGTAATAGATAACCAAGAAAAGACAAATTTTAAGAATTAAAATACAGCAGGGTATGGTGGCACAGGCCTTTGATCCCACACTCAGGAGGCAGAGGCAGGTGGATCTCTGAGTTGGAGGCCAGCCCAATCTATACAGTGAGTTTCAGGACAGCCAGGGCTACAAAGGGAGACCCTGACTCAAAAATAAACCAGCAAGTCATTTTCTGAATGCCAGTCACATTAGCAGACGGGGATCAATGTCTTTCATAGATTTCTATTATATTTCCCTGTATAGTAAAATAAAGTTCTTTGTAGTAATAGTTCAGAAACTTTTGCCCAGTAGTAATAAGTACCACCACAAAAAACAGACATTCTTCAAGGGAACAGATGATGCTCTATATAGTCTTATAGTTTGGGGCAGGAAATAACCTTTATTATGGTACTGCATGGTGAACAATTGGAGATACAACCAGAGTTTATGTTCATGGGAATCTTTTAGGCCATATACAAGAACTGAGACAAACTTTAGATTAGACTAACCTGGCTACTCTGGCTTTCTTCACAAGTTCTTCAACATCTTAACAAGCATTACTTAAGTGTTGATGTGCTGGCTTTAAAGACTTGGCTTTTAGTTAAAAAAAAAAAAGGAAAGGAAAAGGCAGGGTCCTATTATGCAGCCAAAGGCTGGCCCTAAATTTGTGGCTATCCTGTTCCAGCATATGCTGGGGTTGCAGTTACAAGCAAACATCACCATACCTGAAATGTAATGAAGTGGTGAGGGATGTAGCCTTTCCTGTTCTATTTGGTATTAGCTAAAACTGTCCTGTTCTCAGTGAGACTCTCTGAGAACCACAACCAGGCAGAGTTGGACAAGCACCACCGTTTCTGCTGGAGATGTTAGTGTGAACAGTGGGGTCGAGGGAGCTGGGAGGGCTATGAGGTTGCTTCCTCCACTATCTCAGGGTTTAAGACTTTCCCAGAAACTGCTGTCTGAGCTATGAGTAAGAAATCCAACATAAACTTCTTATTTGGAATTTCCCTGTACAAAGTATGAGTTTGAATAAAATTCCAGCAGGTAGTAATTCCCTTAATTCTACAACATTCCAAATTTCTAACATTCAGTTTTTATTCAGTTGTTCTAAAAATTCCCGGTAATCTGGTGGATGAGATCAATCATGTGAACCCATTTGCTTTACCTGAGTCTGGCATAGCTCAGTCCAAAGTTTAGGGAACAATGCAAGATGTAGTGGCAAGCCTTCATAGGCAACCAGGACACCTAATATTTGAAAAATAAAAATCAGAACAGGTTATAACTATATTATACAGCTGAGTTACTGAACTGCAGGTACAATACTGTCAGCTATCTCTGGTTTCAACTGCACCTCTGTTTTCTTAGAAATA